TAAATTCACAATGATCATATTCGAACAGTTACTTTATAGATAAGTAAATGTACTTATACATAATCTTATATTATTAGACCGAAAACTTAAGTGCAAACAAGACATCTTTTAACTTATACTTGCATCAAACAAACAATAACATATAATTGAAGAGATAGCCTTGTTGCCGTGTATTTATCAGATCGGATTTCAAATCACATTTCAAATTTTTTTAGTGGTAACGAGTGGTGCAAATTGCGCTACCTTGCAAACTTCTTCAAATTTGCCTGCAGCCCCACACTCAAGGACACTTATTACGTTCACGGTCGGTGACAGCTTTAACTTCAATTATATTTTAGCACGTGAATCGTGATGAATTCCACTACACATGTTTTCTTCTCTCCGCCCAAGGCAAAATTGCTTTCTTTGGTCCTTAGTTTTTAGCTCAAAGTATAAGTTGGTCCTCAACCTTTGTTAGCTTTGCAGTTCCAACACTCTTCTTGTAGTCATCAAGACTTCAAAAACAGTGTGTAATTAGGGCTGTAAATGAATCACGCCACTCAAGTAAAATTTAAGTGAGAACCTGACTTGACCTGAGTTTAAGTTTAAGTTTAAGTTGAACGCTCAATAAAAAAATCAAGTAGAATTAAATTCAAATTATAAATTAAACTCTACTCAACTCATTTAATTGTATTGAAATTTAATTATATATTAAATATTTAAAAATATGACTTTTATTTAATTTTAATTTTAAATTAAACTCAAATACTTAATAAAGCTTACAAGTTTTGAAATAGACTCATTATTTTAACATCAACTCAAATTTAAATTTTAAAAAACTTATTGTACTTCTTTTTGCAATTCTGAGTGTAATACCCACAAAGTTAAAAATTTGATTTAGTTTGCATACTATAAATTGTCCTTTTTGGTTTTCATTTTTATGTACGCAACCGACTTGAAAATTACTTACAAAGCCGACTTCCCATATCCGTAAGTCAAACTCTTTAGTGCAGGACAGTAACAAAGTTAGAATAAATATCCACATGACTAACAGATTCTACGTTTCAATTAGGTAAAATTTTATATTAAGCTTATCAATTTATTTTAGATTTTTTATTAAAT